ATTTAGGTAATTGCGACTGATTTATTAAGGTAATAAATCAAATAAAAATTTCTGTTGTATCTCAAGATATTCATATCATATATCTGTACATATATATCATATATTTGTACTTAAAATATCGAGATCTATCACATTCCTAACAAACATTAGATTTACTTATATTTTTTTAAATTAATCACATCAATAAATAATACTAATATACATTAAATATTTATCATTATATATAAAGGAATACTACTTCTATAATGTTATAAATAAAAATATCATTATACGACAATAAATTTTTGAGTAAAATAATATTTGAGTATTATGATGAACCAAAATATGTAAAATTTTTATTTTTTATATTAAAAGATAAATATATATGCTAAAATTTTATTTATATTAATATAAACGGATCAACGGGCTAATACATTGTTAAAATAAAATTTTACAAAAATATTTTAAGTTATGAAATACTCGTGCATCTAACGGGATTCTCACTAGTTTTTAAGAAAAGTAGAAAACAAGTATATCCAAATTTGCTATATCAGTCTGGTTTTGATATTTATTAGCCACCTAATTGCATTCGTAATTTTTGTTGTTAGGTGATAGATGTTAACATCTTTGTGGCAGTAATTTTTCCCCCAACGTTCTGAGATTTGTCACGGTCATATTTGATTGGCATCATTTTCTCTCTCAAGGAAACATTTAAGTAATAAAATGTACGATAATCACAGTTTATATCAAGAAAATGTATGTAATTTCACATAAGAAATGTAAGCTCACTAGAAGCATTTTATGTCTTTACGAGAACACAATAGAGCAAGGAGCAACAAACTCATATAAAACCCAAAAACTAGTCAATAATTCCAAAGAAAACCAAATGCCAAAACCGATTCAACCAACATCAGTAACATCATTAAAACGCCCCACAGATCATCATCACAATCAATAATAAGAAAAACGCATCAGATATCCATGGGTGCAGCAGCCACCGCATCTCCACCATTGCCATCGGTGGTCTCGTCCGCAGGCAGATCCTCCCCTGCCACCTCAAACTCATCGATCAATCCCTGCACAGTCCCCTGATCCAGCACGTGAAAGGCCTCGCCTGTACCTAGCACAGCAATCGTGCACACTGAGCTACTCAGCTTCTCGCCCTGTAAAGTCTCCCGAAGCGCGAAAAGAGCATCCTTGATCAAGTCATCTCGAGACGAGCCTGTGAAGGTCTCAAATTTTCGCTCGAGATACGTCTTGGCAGCCTGGGACCTCGACCCGATGGCAAAGGCTTGGTACTCAAAGTAGTTGCCGCTCGGGCAGTTGTAGTAGAGGTGGGCCCCGGACTCGTCCAGCCCGCCTACAAGGAGACCTACCCCGTAAGGCCGCTTCCATGATCGCTGTGTGCAGACCTGGATGATTTTCGATAAAGACAATTAGACGTAGATTTATACTTTATTTTATGTTTTGGCTGATATGTTTGGGAGGAAACCAGAAAATGAAGGATCGAAAATTTTAAAGCCCCTAAAAAATAAAATTGTGAAGGGAACACACGGGTGTGTGAATTGGGACGAGCTGAGTAAGAATAAAACACATTCAGAAAAATATACTCATGAAGGCAACATATGTGGTTGATTCATGATTCAGTTTGGAGCATCAGTAGTCTTCTCCACTGAAGCCAACACCAATATAGTTTGAGTCTAATTGGATATGCTGATAAGATTCGATGGGTAAAGATACTTTCTGCATTATCCAGAAAACGTTTTTCGCATATTTGGCAGTTGCAACATAAACCATTGTAAATGCGATGATGGCTTATTAATATTTGCTCCGAAGAACATCACCCGAATTAATTCCTATATATTTGTTTATGGTTGTGTACAGAAATTAACCAAACTTCACTATGGTTGAAGCTATGCTACACGCTTTTCCTGGTGAACATTGAGATATTAACGTAGATAACTTGAAATAGTGAACAAATTTATCTGTAGAGATTGAACATAGCAATTAAGTTCTGAACTGAGTTTCTCCAATGTTACAAGTTGCAACATATATCCAACAGACAAGATTTTATTCTTTAGGAAAACATTTACACTAATCAAAATCAATTTATTTACATGTCTATTCCAAGTACAAAATAAATCAACACCAACTTCATCAGGTTAATATAAACTAAAGGACAATGTGGTATTTGATAATTGCATGTGCACCCTCAATTCATCACTTCTAAACAGAAACCACCAGGTAAATCCAATGAATTCAGCAGAACAAAGTTTCAGGCTAAAATTTGACAAATCCACATTAGAAACAGAGATAGGCAGAAAAGAGGATGTCGTACTATGAAACGGTATGCGAGTAACAGCATATGATAGAGAAACACGCAGAGAATGATCCCACTAGCAGCCTCTGGTATAAGATAGATATATAATTTACTGCCGTCCCCAAAACAATTCATATAACAACTAAAATGGACAAGATACCCTACAAAACCAAGGAATGAGAATCTAAGCCAGCTGTAGAGATTACTATACTAGGTCTCTGTTCCATATACAAAGTCACAAAACTCAAAAACTATTGAAATTAACTCTGCCCAATGCTTTACATTTTGGTACGGACATGAAGTTAGACCAAAATGTGTGACAACTTAAAAATTTTAGGTCAAATTGTGAAACAAAACTGACATGAGATCACGAAACTTCTTTTCTAGATTAACTTCTAGAAGAAACCAAGATGCATGCTTTCCAACATAATGCAGTCAATGCTACTTAGTCATTCCCTCGGCGAATAAAATGCACAAGATACAGAACATGCTCCTGAAATCATCAATTATGGAACACAGGGAAGTTCTGAAATAGCCAGCCTGTGCAGGTTCATTCGGAAATCCAAGGATAGCTTAATAATATTTCTTCTAGAGTTCCAAATTTCTTACTAGAAACTATATTTCTAATTTCTTGTGGACAAGGGCTACAACTAATAAACAAGCTAACAACATAAAATAAAAGCGTAGGTTTTCACCTCACCTTAAGAGAAAAGCGTAGGTTAATCAGTCATATGTACACAACCATTTTTTACAAGCTTCCTTTTTGCCGAAGGAGTAAGGCAAACTGATATTTAATGCCGGAAACATTACTTTTCCACTTCAAACTGACCGATTTAAGTAAATTTTATTTGTTGTACACTTATACTTATCAGTTATTTCCTCTCTCAGTTTAAATATAAACTCCTATATCCAGGAATCCCCACAAACTGCACCTGAATTCCTAACCCTTATGCCACAATTCCAAAATTCGATGTGCAAATACATCTTGCAAATAAACAACATTTTCTTCATAATCTAATGTTAAAACTACCAACCCGCAATGTTAAACCCTAACTCTCAATTACACCACGCTCTCCGCATAAAAATCATCAAACCAGCACGAGAAACTAGAAAACTTAAAATTTGCTAACCAAATACGGCGGAAATCAAACCTGAGCCTTGTCCGCCAGCTGAACAACAAGGCGGCCGACGGGGAGCGGCGACTCGTACGTATAAGAATAATTGATGCACTCGTTGCGCATGTACCTGGACAGCACACGGCCGTCCGCCGTGAGCCCGGCGATGGCGACGCCGATGTGGTCGTCGACCTTGAAGATCTTCTTCTGGTGCGAGGAAAGCTCCGAGCTGGCCTTGTTGACGGACGCGAGCACCACGTGGGTCTTCGATCTCAGACCAATCGCTGCCGAGCCCTGCTTCACCGCCTCCATTGCGTACTCCACTTGGAAAAGCCGCCCCGCCGGCGACCACGTCGTGACGTCGGTGTCGTACTGGTTTCTGAACATTTTCTACGGTGGAAATGAAATTCTGAGATTCGTATGTATCACCAGTAGGTCACTCTCTTTCTCCAGAATCCGGAGAAAAGGGGCAAATTTCGCTTTGTTTTCTTATTCTTCAAGCCAGAAAGAAGAATACACAATTGGGCCTTTTCAGGATTATGGGTCGAGGTATTTGGGCTGGGATAAATCTTAAAATCAATTGTGAACTCAATCACTATGAGATCCCACATCAGAAAGAGTAATTAATGGATCCGCCTCTGATCATTGGTCTGCTTCGCCCGACGCCAAAATATTTTATCTATATATATATATATAAAAAGATTTACCATTTTTTAAAAATAGCAAGTCAAATTATAGTCAAAATTTATTTGCATTAATTACATACCACTTTTAGTAATTTTTATTTGTTTTTTTGGGCAAAAAATCGAGCATCATAAATGGAGCCCTTAAATCATGGTAGTTGTTAATTTAATTTGGAAAAAATCATGGCAAATAAACAAACAACATTAATGACAACTAATTTAGTATTTAAATAGTAAAACAAATTATCTTTATTTATGGCTTATTTAAATTTACATTTGATTTAAATTAAAAAAAAAAAAAAACTACTTTTGTAATTTCAAAAATCTGTACACTTTAATGTACGAGTGATTTAAAATTAAGAATTTACTTTTGTATTTTCACAAAAAATCGTATAAAGAAGTATGGCTAAAATAATAATAAAAATTTAATTTTTTAAACCATATTTTGCACTCATAGGTACGAATTCTCATCAAATTCAAAATTTAAAATTGTGAAGAATGTATATAGATGCAGACTGATTGAAGATATATGTGATTTTTTAAATTAAAGAATTTTTTCAGGTTAAAAACAAAAATATAAACTTTAAATATAGATTTTATTAATAGTGTATACCAAAGAATACTATTACATTTAAAATTCCTATTACGAATAATTTTGTTAATTTTCAAATTCAACATCTCATAAAAATAAAATAATACACTTTTACATACTATGAAACAATATTTAAAACCCCCGTGCAACAACATACATAAAATGTAAAATTACCTAACATGAATCACTTTAATTTTCTGAAATATGTACACAATTTGCTTGGTATGCACTGATATTAAGAGTTAATATTTGCTATGACATTTATTGGTTGGATAGAATTCCATTTTGTATGGATTTCGAAATAAAACACAGATTCTCAAAATCAAATCTGATTTGGAGATCGATTTCTTAATGACCTTAAATTATGCAAATATATTGTTTCAGTTTTTGGGATTCTTTTTTATGATTTCAACCTTTACATTATATAAAATAAACAATAAAAACCGCCGTACAACAACATACACACATACATACATAATATCTATATCTATATCTATATAATAAGAATTACTATTTCTAAAACATGGCAGGTCAACTGCAGGTCAAATCCGGTTAGCATGAAATACTTACCAATTTGGTTAAGTTTTTTTGCATGTATCGGCCAGCATTTAATGCTGCCCATAATTTGTGGGGTTACCAATGTGTCATACCTAATCTGTAACTGCTTATCTAATTTTCGTATGAAAAATAATTTATTCAAAGGGATTGTGAATCGTTTTTCATTTTGAAACGATAAACACGGGAAAATGTCACAGAAATAAATATCGGCTCGGTGGTTTGAGGAAAACCCTAAAAAAGGGGAATTGTCGCCTTTTATAGGTGAAGTTGGATCGTGTTGACCAAATTTAAACTGTCCGATGTGGTATATACATATATATGTTTATGAGCTAGATACATTCACATAAATGTATATTGGGCCAATTTTATGGGACATTTTTAAAGGTGTGAAAGTTTTTATTTAATGTATGTGGGCCACCTATTACGACATGGAAAAATAGGCGCATTGGACCGAACATATGTGTTAATTATTAATATCCAAAAATTTAATAGTATTGGGCCAAAACTAAATTAGTGTCAGATTTTGTTTGGTTGTCATGCTGTGATGGTCTCTAAAATTATTGTTAGTGTTCTTTTACTTTACAACTGTTTTTACTAATTAAAGAAAATATTTGTTTACAGTATTACTAAAACAATTTTTATATATATATATTTGGTTAATTTATATTTTAAATTTACTGTTGATTTGTTTTTAATGATATGTTCAATAATAAAATTGACTTTTATTGATTTTTTAGAAATATAATGAGCCATCGTCCCATCGTAATGCCTAATACGAAAAAGCAACAAAAACTGGTACGTAATTTTTTGGAGATTCAAGGACAATCACCCTTATATACGAAAATCATTTTTTATTAGTATAAATGATTCTACATAAAATATATTAAATTATAGACTAGAGCTAATATGCTCGAGTTTAACGTGATGAGTTAAAAACAACTTCATTACAAGTAGATTTAACTCTATTTTTTTTAAGCCTAAACGGACATGTCTTATTAAAATGACTCATTTAACATATCTGACCTGTGCATCGCACGGGATACGTACTAGTTGTGCATAAACAGACATGGCCACGAGTTGGCTCGACCCGTCGACCGTCCCGTGAATTGGACCGAAACCGACCCTGGACCGACTCGCCCTAGCCTGTTTTTGAATCGGCCCATAGGGCCGGTTACGAATCATGTTGTACCCATTTTTAACCCGTTGGGCCGAGCCTGGGCGGTTCCAGGCCCAAGTTTTTGACGGGTCAGGGTTATAATTTTGTTTTCCCCATTTTTTTTTTCTTGAATATAAGCGGGCCGGTTATTCATCTAGGATTTGTGACCCGCCGACTCGGGCCAGGCCGGGCCAGTCTGTGAAGCGGCCCGGGATTTGGCCAGGTCTATGCATAAATGTAGTATATTAATTATTTAAATTCCATTAATAATCAATTTATATTCAATAAATTTAATAAAGAACTAGATAAATTCGATAAAATGCATATAAGGACTCATTTATTTTTAACCGTCAACTTCACGTGCATGCCTAACATAAAGTTGCTTATAAAATTATATGTGACGAATACATTCAAAATTATCAAAGCTTTTCAGAGTCCATCAGAAGCAGCCCGTGAGCTCCCGAAAGGTCCTGGCAACCTATGTGTACTTAACATAGTAGTAATTTAAATAGGAGTTTTTTCAATACAAGGCCTTGAAAATGAGTAAACTATCAATTCGGGGCCTGAAAAAAGATTTTTTTTCAATTCGAAACCTAAATGTTATACAACTATTAAATTAAGTCCTACAATTAACAACACTCATAAAACCATTAAATTGAGAGTTAATTTGAAGTTTTAAAACACCAAATTTGAAGAAAAATAAAAAATTGTTGCTTACTCACATAAAATAATAAGTAAACATTTGCATAATATTAAAAA